TTTTTTTTGTTACACAAAGAGATCTTTTTTTTTGGTGGTATTTGATCACCTCTAACGGTTTTTATTTTTTGCACTAAAAAAAAAAAACAATATTTTTCATTTTTGGTTATAAAATATATCCAATAAACTCAGTTAGTCATAAATTTAGCCTAAAATGTATTCTGCTACATGTCTTTGGATAAAAAAAAAAATCTCAGTAAGTGTATATTAATTGGTTTGTGTTAAAAGTTATAGCGTCTACAAACTATGAGAATATATATATATATATATATATATATATATATATATTGGAAATTTATGTAGCCTTTTACTTTCTGACTGCCTATCACATTTCTTGAGGTACTAAAATGCCAGGGCAGTACAACACCCCCCGCTCCCCCCCAAATGAACCCTTTTTGAAAGTAGATACCCCATGGATTTTGCAGAGAGGCATGTTGAGTCCATGGAACATTTTATTTTTTGCCACAATTTTCTTTTTTTTTTTTCTTTACACATAGTTGTCACCTTAATTATATATTGCTCATGCATGCCATGGGTATATGTGGAATAACACCTCAAAACACATTCTCCTACTTCTTCCGAGTATGGGGATACCACATGAGGGACTTTTTGGCAGCCTAGCTTCATACAAGCCCCCAAAATCCAATGACCACCTCCAGGCTTTCAAAGGGCATATTTCCTCATATCACTTCCCCACTACCTATCAGTTTCAGAGGCTCTAAAATGCCAGGATAGTACAAACACCCCCCCCCCCCCCCCCCCATGACCCCTTTGTGGAAAGTAAACACCCCAAATAATTTTATAAGAGGCATGGTGAGTATTTTACAGATATCATTTTTGTCACAGGGTTTTGAAAAATAAAGAAAAAAAATTTTTTGTTTTCTTTCTTCATTTTCCAAAAACATGAGGCAACAAATGAGATCTGCAAAATACTCACCATGCCTCTTAGCAAATACCTTGGAGTGTCTACTTTCCACAAAGGGGTGATGGGGGAGGGGGGTTGCTTCTACTATCCTGGCATTTCAGGGCCAACATTAGAAGCTTATGCCACACATCACCCACTCTTGAAGACTAAGCTTTTTCTGAAACTTTTTGTTCACATGCAAAAACTGTTTTTTTTGCTAGAAAATTACTTTGAACCCCAAAACATATATTTTTTAAAGCAGAGGCCCTAGAGCAGGGGTCCTCAAACATTTTAAACGGGGCCAGTTCACGGTCCCTCAGACCGTTGGAGGGCCGGACTATAGTTTGAAGAAAAAAAAAAAAAACTATGAACAAATGCGGACACAGTACAGGAGATGACCAGAGACTGCGGACATAGTACAGGAGATGACCAGAGACTGCGGACACAGTACAGATGACCAGAGACTGCGGACACAGTACAGATGACAGAGACTGCGGACACAGTACAGATGACCAGAGACTGCAGGCATACAACGGCGACGGGAATACTGGGCCGGCCGCTCTCCATAAGACACACAGACATTTCCCCCCAAGTGTGTCTTATGGAGCGAAATAGTGCCCCATCATTGGTGTCAGTGGGAAGAAACATGCCCCATCATTGGTGTCAGTGGGAGGAATAGTGCCCTATCATTGGTGTCAGTGGGAAGAATCGTGCCCCATCATTGGTGTCAGTGGGAAGAATCGTGCCCCATCATTGGTGTCAGTGGGAGGAATAGTGCTCCATCATTGGTGTCAGTGGGGGGGAGGAATAGTGCTCCATCATTGGTGTCAGTGGGGGGAAGGAATAGTGCCCCATCATTAGTGTCAGTGGGGGGAAGGAATAGTGCCCCATCATTGGTGTCAGTAGGGGAAGGAACAGTGTTCCATCGTTGGTGTCAGTGGGGGGTGGAATAGTGCCCCATCATTGGTGTCAGTGGGGGGGGGGAGGAATAGTGCCCCATCGTTGGGGTCAGTGGGGGGGAGGAATAGTGCCCCATCATTGGTGTCAGTGGGAGGAATAATGCCCCATCATCATTAGTATCAGTGACACCAATGATGGTGCACTATTCCTCCCACTGACACTTAACTTGCTGACCCCTGTTCCAGCATGGTGCTGCTGCAGCCAGCATACCTGGTTGCAGCAGCACCATCTGCACGGCACACTTACCTGTCAGATGTCCTTCACTGCGGCCTCTCCCTCACTCGATGCTTGTGGGGCAACTCGGCTCCGCCTCCTCGCAGGTGATTGGCCGCCTGTGTGCCTTTCCTGAGCTACAGTTCTGGCGCCCAATCACCGGTGAGGAGGCGGAGCCGAGCGGCAGTGCGAACATCGAGTGAGGGAGTGGCCGGCGTGAATGAAGGAGCAGCGCTTCCTGGACTGGTATGTCGTGGGACTGGGACCAGAACCAGGTAAGATACAGCAGCCCCCTGCACTTAGTGTGCCTTCCTCGCGGCAAATACGCCCCTGCCGGCGGGCCAGATAAATGGCCTTGGCGGGCCACATGTGGCCCGCGGGCCGTAGTTTGAGGACCCCTGCCCTAGAGAATAAAATGGTGGGCGTTTAAATTTTTTTACGCCACACAGTATTTGTGCAGTGAATTTTTCAAACGCAAATGTTTTGGGAAAAATACACTTTTTAGAATTTTAATTAACAAAAACACATTATATTGCCCAATTGTTTGATAGACTGAGTAAATAGATACCAAGCATGATATGCTTTAAAATTGCGCGTGCCCCTGCAATGGCAACAAAGTACATAATTTTTTTACATACATTTATTATCAATAGGCGACGCTTTAAAAGCCTTTACAGGTCACCAATTTATATTTACAGAGAAGGTCTAGTGCTAGAATTACTGCCCTCAATCTGACGTTCGCAGGGACACTTCATATGCATAGTGCAACCACTATTTACATAACGGCACAGGGTCAACGCTTGCGCACGCGGGGTGGGCAAGTGTTTTTTTTTTTTTTTAGTTATTTTTATTTTTTTTTACATTTATACACTGTCCCTTTCATTTTTTTTTTAATATCACTTTTAATGCTATCACAGGGAATGCAAATATCCCCTAAAACTTCAATGGGCATTGTCATTTATTCTTTTTTGAGAAATCTGGGGTCTATTAGACTCTAGATATCTCTCCTCTTCCCTTACATTATCTAATCTCACCAAGATCGGTGTGATCAGATGCTTTCCCAAGTTACAAATGGTACTTTTTACATCCTGCAAAACTGAAGTGATGAAAATGCTTGTAGCTTCCAATTTCTTAAACTATAAAGATGATTGGAGCCATTCTGGTCTCTGACCAGCTCTATGGTCAGCCAGCGGAACTGCCGGCTGCATTCTTGGATTCCCCTGAGGGACAGGAGAGCCCAAGAAAACTGTGGAAGGCAGCACCAGCTGAAAAAAACAATACCAGGATGATGCCTGTAGCTGCAGGCATCATCCCGGTCTAACCACTCAAAGTCCAGCGCACTACCAGTACATTGCTAGTCCATGTTGGGCATATATGTAACAGCAGAGAACACAGGCATACGATGAATTGCTCTATAGATCACACCGCAATTCATTTTCTGTAATGCCCATGTTGAGGGGTTAGGCTGAAAAGAGTTTTAAATTCAGAAACCATAATAGGTTTCCATGCAAATTGTCTGGCAAGAGCTGAATTTGGGTGGACGGCCATACATTGTTTTGCGTATAAATTGCCTTGGCCCACAATCAATTGACACAAATCTTCCAAGAAAAACAGCAGAGGGGCTAAACTCTACTGCTGGCAGCGAACAGGGGCGATCCTAACTCTGTGTTTTTGTGGACACTATACAAAGGAGGCACTAGTATAGTTCTGTTCATTGTCAATATATTGATCCGTACAAGCACTAAACTAGTAATGGCGGTGATCAGCGACCTATAGCGTGAGTGTGATAGTGTGCGGGCTAGCTGACCCTGGCTGGGATGAACGCTTGATCAGGGTTTTTTTTTTTTTTTTCTTTACACTTTGCTTATTATCTTTATTTCTCCTGCAATACAAAGCTTGCTGTCAGAACCAAACTCATTCATGAACTGTCATGAATGAGTTAAGTTTTTTGACAGCTCAGGATAGTGATCTGTGATTGGCTGGAGCTGGTAACATGGTACAAGGTGCTGTGATTGGCCCCATGTGACAACTGTGGTCCAATCACAGCTCACTAGGAAGAGAAGCAGAGCTGTTATGAATGACATTGATTCATAACAGCTTTGCTTACATAGCGATCACATGATCACCAGGATCTTCATAGTGCTGTGTCAGCTGGACACAGCAGTCGAGGGGGCACACTGCGCACCCCCTTGTGTTAGTACAGCCAGAGCAACATGTGTTGCTTCGCCTGTAGCTGCCGCCCGGCCGCAGTACATTGTACAGAGTAAATAGCTGTTTATTTTATATGCTTTACAGCACTTTGGACATACAATCTTTTTCTATCAGTATGAAAAATGTAAATTTTTGAACTTCACTGCATTCAGTTTGCCTTTAGTTTAGTCTTCTGGTCTTGTCACATAGCTGTTGCCTCAATCATAGTCGAGACAGGTGACTGGTCCTCTGCTGTTCTATTACCACAGGTCACATGACTTCACTATTTAAACCCATAATGCCCAACCTGCTGCCACGCTTTCCCAGTAAACTAAATATTGCAGCTGTTAAATACTTTTTTTTTCTTTTTATCAAACTGACAAGTATTGAGGAAGAAATGTATCAGAAATATATAAAACACTAAAATAAGAAAGGTTTACCACAGTCTGAAGCATGGCTAAACAAACATATTTATTAAGATGCCGTTTCATAAATAGCACAGTCTTGGTCCTGCTTTTACAAATATACCACACAGTGATAGAGAGAAACAGAATAGCCATTACTTCAGTACAAAGTTGTAGTTAAAATGTTTTAATAATTACTTTACTAAATTAATATGTACCAAGGCAAAGAGTAAATTAAGCCATAATAAAAGTGGGCTGCTCAGCAGCAATACCAAGCACGCTATTCCAGTGGTTTACACCGAAATTAATGATCCAGGATAGGGATGGCATCAGGGATCTGGAAACACAATGCCATAGATCTCTTCATAGTGCTCAACAAAATGCACCTCTAGTCCCTCAGTGATGAACGAGGCCAGGTCATAGTAATCTTTCTTATTCTCTGATGGAAGGATGATACAGGTGACACCTGCTCTTTTAGCCTGCAAAGAGATATTTAATTATGAGCATGCTCTTCATTGAGTAAAAGCCATTAAAGACTGACTGAAATCATAAACCTAACCCATAACTCATTTTCCCTAACCCTTCTCAATGAATTATTAATGACAAGCCTAGTGCCTAGAGAGCAATTATTCTCTATGACTGGACCCAGTGCATGCACACTAGATGGAGAACAGTCTGCAGGAATGGATTGAAATGACTGGATATCGCCATATACAAAGACTGACTTCTGCTGGGCAGCCAATACATCTATATGTCTACACCTGAACTCTGGTTATTTACTTTCCATTTCCTTTTGTTATTGTGCCTAAAGTCTGTGGTGAAGCTATTTATGAAATATTTAATTGCACTACCAGATTTTTACATTAGAGAAAATGTGTTGCAAATATGGGTGGACTCAAAGCTATGGTAGGAGATAATGAAGAAGATACAATCATGAATAATTCAGCCTACTAGCACCTAGCCACAACTGAAATACCCGCTTTATGTAGACAAACACTTTAAAACTAGTATACAGTTTAGTACAATATAAAAAGAAAAAAAGTGTATGGCTGCCTTTCTACTATATCAGAAATAAAGTCCTATGATCTTTGACTTGGGTACTGCTGCTTGGCTCTTCTAACATTACAGTATTCTCACTGTAAAATATCTTTTCCTAGACACAGTAATGTTCACAAGACATTGGCTGATATTCAGAATGTTTCTACTGTCACAGTGCTACAAGCAGACAGTAAGCATGGAAATCTGAAGACTTGGGCTTCGAGGTACTTATGATCATACTCACGGCTATAGTTTTTTCTTTGATACCGCCTACAGGTAGGATTTTTCCTGTTAAAGACACCTCTCCGTCATTGCCACATTTTGGCGGGCAGGACGTCCCAAAGCTAAGGAAAGAAGAGCAGTAACAATAGTGCATCCCGCACTAGGGCCATCCTTTGGTGTAGCACCCTAAGAACAGAAATACATCATTTTTATAAATTAATTAAAAAACACACAAAATTGTTTGTAATGCTAGTTCTGTTAATTGAAAAAAAATGATCTGTTTTATGTACTGTTTGTTTCTTTTTATTATTACAACATTAAAAAATGATTTAACCGCTTCCCGACTGCCCTATAGCAGAAATACTGGCATGGGTGTGCAAAATCATACACACACACACACACACAATATATATATATATATATATATATATATATATATATACATACATATACACATACATACATACATACATACATACACACACACACATACATACACACGATTTTGCATTTCCGGGTGCCATTCGTGGCCATCAATCACTGGGTCCCGGCCAGTGATTACCGAGGATCACCAACAGGGAGGAGAACTGTTTTGTTTACGAATAGTTCTCCTCCCTGTTAGCATGGGCACATTGCTTTGGATGGCTGTGCTCCGCACAGCCATCCAAAGCAGTGTGCTTGCAGTGAAGCACACAGACACCGCCCCCCCCTAGTAAAACACACCAAGCACACAGTTAACACTTTGATTGCCCCTCATGTTAACCCTTTCCTGCCCAGTGCCATAAGTACAGTGTCAGTGCTTTTTTTTTTTATAAAGCACTGATCACTATATTGGTGTCACTGGGGATGTCAGTGACACCAAGTCAGTTCTCCCTAGTGTCAGAAAGTCCACTGCAGTCCCGCTATAAGTCGCTGGTCACCGCCATTACTAGTAAAAAGAACAAAAAATCCCAGTATATATACTGCCATTTGTAAATACTAGAACATTCACGTAAGCCAATAAATTTACACATATTGGGATTTTTTTTTTTTTTTTTTTAGCAAAGACATGTAGCAGAATACATTTTGGCCTAAATTTATTATGAAATTTGTGTTTTACATTTCACTGGACATGTTCAATAGTAAAAAGTCAAAAATATTGTTTTTTCTCAAAATAGTGCAAAAAAAAAAAAAAAAAAAAAAAGCGCACAGGCGATCAAATACCACCGAAAGAAAGCTCAATTCGTGCGATAGAGAAAAGGGCCTCAATTTCATTTGGGTGCAGCGCTGCATGACCGCACAATTGTCAGTTAAAGTAACGCAGCGCTGTAACGCAAAAAAAATGGCCTGATCAGGAAGGGAGGTAAATCCTCAGGAGGGCAAGTGGTTAATAATGATCATTTAATAGCCAATACTGGCACTTTCAAAAGTGAATCTTACCTCTGGAACATGCAAGTGAATATGTGAGGTAACCAAAAAGTTATTATCTGGTTGTTTCCTCATCAGGAAGGCACGGGCAAATGTATATGCAATCTTGGCACTTTCCTTCATAACATCCCCAAGCTGTCCTGTTACTTCAAGGGAACCATCTTTATTTTCTTTGTCCAATGGACGTCGAAGAGAGGTCTCAATAAACAGGGTAGATCCACCTGAAATTAACAAATGCGATCTTAAAAATTGTATAAACCAAGCCCACACCTGATTGACAGACATAACTGTTGAAATATATGGCTTTAGTTTATTACAGAGAATTTACCAACATTGGGCAAATTCAGACCAAGCATTTTTTTTTTTCAGGAAAAAAAGGCTTTGAATTTTGGATTTCTAGATGCAAAAAAAAAAAAAATAAAATAAAATAGTACCGGGTCTTAGGTTGCATGCAAATAGATGGCAGTTGCAGAGCATGCAGCAGGAAAGCTTTCATATCTGTAATGAGACCTTTATGATTCAAACATTTTCTTTTTCTCCCCAAATACACATTTTTTTCTGTAACTGATCAAGAGCTGTGACTGCTGTGACTGAAACACAGATAATCCAGTTTGATGAAACTGATTTAACACCAACTTTATTTTTACATGATACCATTCATGTAGCATAACTTAAAATAAAGATTAAAAATAAATTTTTTAAAAGGTCAAAGTGTACCTTTTTAAAAAATAAATAAATTCACTTTTTTTTGGTTGGAAAAATAATTCTTTTTCGCACAGGAGTTTGTGAAGCATTTCAAAGCATCCGTGGATCGTAAGTGCAATGCCAGGCTCCTGCTGACTCTCTTTCTTCAGCTCCCTGCTTGTACCGAGCTGCGGGCTTGCAGCTGGAGAGCAGGAATAAGTGACAATGGAATTGCAAAGGGGTAGGACGTCCGCTTGGCACCATGGTACACCCTAAATATGGTGTAAAAGATGTAGTTAACCTTTAGATGTTTTTTAAATTGTTTAAACCAGCTACCTTGTTTCCTCCTTCTTGGTAAACTACATATTACCAGACAGGTTCACTAAATAGTGGTTATCAATTTGGCTGTCATTAGCATAAAATAAACTTCCATTAATTTCAGATTCTTGTGTCATAAATAACACAAATGAACTGTGGAAACCATAGAGGTTTATAAGTGCAGGACAGAGGGCACAGTGAGCCAACTATGTTCCATTTGCTGGGTCTCAAGGACTTTTGGTTGGCACTAATACAGAGTACCCCAGCATCCATGTACATTATCTCAATCCCCAAGGATAGTGCCGTACAGAGGCAAAAAGGTTTGAGCAGGTAAAAAGTAATTGCTTATGAAAATCATATGTTTTCGCAGTTTCATCACCCGATGTTACAAACCTGTATGGAACCATTAACAATACAAGTAGTACTGCAATGGCCTTTTATTTCTCACCCATAGCAGTCCAAGCTAGGCCCATCACAACCCCAGGTGGGGTGACCTCATACATCCTGTCCACAGTGAAGATGGGCTTTCCAACAAAATCCTGAAGGTTGGACTCTGTTACATCCACAGACTGAGCCTCCCCATTCACAATACTGTAGGCAGCCTTTCGAAGGACCTAAGTAAATAAAGAAAAGCCAATTACAAGATCACTCATCTCCACTGCTCCTCTTTCAAGCTAGCTCTACTCAAACATACAGTAGTTTATCATACTAAAAAAATTCCCAAGTTTAAATGTCACCCACCTTTTCTACTTGTTTCTGTAAATTCCGTACTCCACTCTCCCTGCAATACTGCCTGATTAAAACAGTGAGTGCGTCAGATGTGATCTGAGCTTTCCCTTCATCCAGCCCACACAAAGTTAGTGCCTGTGGCACGAGATACCTCTGAAAATAAAACATTTGGTCATAATGTGACTTGTTAATATACCCAGGAATTATGGAGTAACAAAGATAGACAGACAGATACAGTTCCTTGAAAAAGTATTCATACCCCTTGACATTTTCCACATTTTGTCATGTTATAACCATAAAACATACCGTATTTGCGGGCGTATAAGACGACTTTTTGACCCTTGAAAATCTTCTCAAAAGTCGGGGGTCGTCTTATACGCCGGTACACATGTTAGGGGGGCTGCGGCATTAAGTACAGGGGTTTGCAGGGGCTGACGTCTTACCTGGATCCAGTCCCACGACGATCCGGTCCAGGAAGCGCGGCGTCTCCTTCAGTTCGGCCACTGGATGTTCGTGCGGCTGCGCGGCTCCGCCTCCTCACCGGTGATTGGCCGCCAGAACTGTAGCTCAGGAAAGGCACACAGGCGGCCAATCACCGGCGAGGGGGCGGAGCCGAGCGGCCCCGCGAAAATTGAGTGCCGGAGCAGCAGGTAAGTGCTCTGTGTAGAGGTGCTGCTGCAACCACATATGCTGGCTGCAGCAACCATACGAGAACAGGGTCAGCAAGTCTCAGTGGGAGGAATAGTGCCCCATCATTGGTGTCACTTACCAATGATGGGGCACTATTCCTCCCACTGACACCAATGATGGGGCACTATTCCTCCCCCCCCCCACTGACACCAATGATGGGGCACTATTCCCCCCCCCACTGACACCAATGATGGGGCACTATTCCTCCCCCCACTGACACCAATGATGGGGCACTATTCCTCCCCCCACTGACACCAATGATGGGGCACTATTCCACCCTCACTGACACCAATGATGGGACACCATTCCTCCCACTGATACCAATGATGGGGCACCTATTCCCCCCACTGATACCAATGATGGGGCACCTATTCCCCCCACTGATACCAATGATGGGGCACCTATTCCCCCCACTGATACCAATGATGGGGCACTATTCCTCCCACTGGTGTGCATTGGAAGAGGGGTAGTCTTATACGGCGAGTATAGCCCAAACACTACATTTTAGCAGGAAAAGTAGAGGGGTCGTCTTATACGCCCAGTCGTCTTATACGCCGGCAAATACGGTAAATGTATTTTATTGGGATTTTATGTGATAAACCAACACAATGTGGCACATAATTGTGAAGTGGAAGGAAAAGGATAAATGGTTTTCAATTTTTTTTTTACAAATATCTGAAAAGTATGGCGTGCATTTGTATTCAGCCCCCTTTACGTGGATACCCCTAGCTAAAATCTAGTGGAGCCAATTGCCTTCAGAAGTCACCTAATTAGTAAACAGAGTCCACCTGTGTGCGATTTAATCTCAGTATAAATACAGCTGTCCTGTGAAGCCCTCAGAGGTTTGTTAGAGAACATTAGTGAACAAACAGCATCATGAAGGCCAAGGAACACACCAGACAGGTCAGAAACAGTGGAGTTATGGAGAAGCAGGGTTAGGTTATAATAAAAAGAATACCAAGCTCTGAACATCTCACGGAGCACTGTTCAATCCATTATCCGAAAATGGAAAGAGTATGACAACTGCAAACTACCAAGACATGGCCATCCACCTAAACTGACAGGCCAGGCAAGGAGAGCATTAAATCAGAGAGGCAGCCAAGAGGTCCATGGTAACTCTGGAGGAGCTGAAGAGATCCACAGCTGAGGTGGGAGAATATGTTCACAGGACAACGGTTAGTCGTGCACTCCACAAATCTGGCATTTATGGAAGAGTGGCAAGAAGAAAGCCGTTGTTGAAAGAAAGCCATAAGAAGTCCCGTTTGTAGTTTGTGAGAAGCCATGTGGGGGACACAGCAAATATGTGGAAGAAGGAGCTCTGGTCAGATGAGACCAAATTTAACTTTTTGGCCTAAAAGCAAAACGCTATGTGTTGTGGAAAACTAACACTGCACATCACCCTGAACACACCATCCCCACCGTGAAACATGGTGGTGGCAGCATCATGTTGTGGGAGTGCTTTTCTTCAGCAGGGACAGGGAAGCTGGTCAGAGTTGATGGGAAGATGGATGGAGCCAAGTACAGGGCAATCTAAGAAGAAAGCCTGTTAGAATCTGCAAAAGACTTGAGACTGGGGCGGAGGTTCACCTTCCAGCAGGACAACAACCCTAAAAATACAGCCAAAGTTACAATGGAATGGTTCAGATCAAAGCATATTCATGTGTTAGAATGGTCCAGTCAAAATCCAGACCTAAATCCAATTGAGAATCTGTGTCAAGACTAGAAAATTGCTGTTCACAGACACTCTCCATCCAATCTGACAGAGCTTAAGTTATTTTACAAAGAAGGATGGGCAGAATTTTCACTCTGGATGTACAAAGCTGGTAGAGACACACCCAAAAAGACTTGCAGATGTAATTGCAAGGAAAGGTGGTTGTACAAAGTATTGACTCAGGGGGACTGAATACAAATGCATGCCACACTTTTCAGATCTTTATTTATAAAAAATTTTAAAAACAATTTATCATTTTCCATCTACTGCACAATTATGTGCCACTTTGTGTTGGTCTATCACATAAAACCCCAATAAAATACATTTACATTTTTGGTTATAACATGACAAAATGTGGAAAATGTCAAGGGGTATGAATACTTTTTCAAGGTACGATAGACAGACAGACATGCCTCTGATGTTTGTCTGGGAACAGTCTTCTTTAGTGAGCTAGAGAAAACAAACTTTTTGTTTTCTCAGATCTTAATAAATGGTTTTGAGTCTTGCAGCTCAGAGGAAGCTTTGTAAAGCTTTCGGTTAAACAAAGCCTCCATTCATATTTTTACTTCCTACCTGCAGCCAAAACACTTTGTCTGAGCTGCGAAGAAATCTTTGTATATGTGAGCCGACTAATGCTTAGTGTTCTCTTTCTGCTGTGGGAACCTGCTGCTTGGTAAAAAGTTTTAGTGCAGGGGGAACACAAAAAAGGTAGGTGTGCTGTCTGTTTGAAAGAACCCATTAGGAGACACCGTGTTAGTCAGGAAATGAGTTGATCTGAGTATAGCTAGTTTTTTTTTTTTTTTTTGTTAATACCATGGACTTGCTGTAGCACTCTTGAATTGAAACTGTGAATCTGTTGTGTGTACAAAGCCGCACACACACACTGGTGAGAAGTATACCTTATGGTGCCGCTCCAAGCCATGGATGGAAGGAAAAGGATCACCCCACCGGCAAGTGAGAAGAGGAAAGCATGAGTCCGAGCAATTTCAGTGTCAGCCAATACAAATGAAGGGATGGACGGTGCTCAACCGACCCCAGGAGTCCAATGTTCAGGAATGGCCTCAGCCGCTGGTCTGGCCACGCCCACTGCTGCATTTCTCCCCGCCCACTGAGGGGTTGGTCATAGAGGTAGTCTCTGTGACCAAGCTCAGGTGGCTGGGATGAAACGCGTCAGAGGACGTGGCCAGAACGGCGGCTGAGGCCATTTCTCAACATTGGACTGGAATTGGTTGAGCGCCGTCCATTCCTTCACTTGCACACACAGTACATAAACTATAAACACAGGGAATACCTTACCTCTGCTATGGCCAACTTCTCCTGGGCTACATATCCAGATATATTGATCATCTCCATACGGTCTCTCAGAGGCTCTGGAATAGTTTCTGTAACATTGGCTGTGCAGATGAAAAGGACCTGGGAGATATTCACAAAGAACTCATTATTATGAGAACATAACTTACTGCTTCCAATTCAAGTATGACAAAAGGTCATCAACACTCTAAATATAGCGAAGAGATATAAAACAGATTGCAGCTGAAATAAGTTAACTTTTGGCAATTAAATGGGAAATTACATTTTGTAAATATTCTCAGAATCTTAATTTTACCTAGCACAGAACAAATGTAAACTATATATCTAAAACAAACTGTAGCCAAGTTACCTTAGACAAGTCAACGGGAACATCCAAGTAATGATCCAGAAAATTAGCATTCTGTTCTGGATCCAAAAGCTCAAGGAGAGCAGAGGATGGATCACCTTGGTACCCACGACCAAGTTTATCCACCTGCAGAAGAAATAAATCAGAACATTTTATGCCAAGTGGTAAAGTAAGACTTTCACAGGGAAAAAAAAAAGAGATTAAAGTCTCACCAAATTCTCTCCCCTTAATCAAATAAAAAAAGAAAGAAAAGAAAAACAGTGTTTACAGGAATCAAAGAGCGGTTCACAGAAAGCACTCTCTACAATGTTACATATATAACCAGCCAAATATCATGCTTTCTTGGTCTTCTCCAAGAAAACAAACCTGAGATAAACAAGACTGCCTTCAGGAAAAAGACCTTTGTGTACAGACAATAACCTACAAACCCTTTCTACCATGAAGGAACTGACTAGAAAGCGTACCTATTCTCAAGATAAAGGCGACAACAATGAATCCGACCACAGCTATATACATTTGGAGTTCTGTCATGGCTTTTGGCCGCTACACACTTAAGATTTTCCAGGAGTTCTATTATAGTGAACTTTAAATTTGTTCTGAACAATTTGGAGGCTTTATAACAAATCCAAATAGATATAAAAAACAAAACATGCACCTATTTAAACATGTATTTTACCTGAAACTTGCATAAGAGGCTCGATTTAAGCCTCGTGTAATGCTCTGTGTACCGCAGCACTCAGACTGGCAGAGGAAGGGTCAGCACTAGGATCCAGGCAGGTTCTGCTGCATGCACGTGTACTGACAGTGAACATGCTGGCGGGGGTAGGCAGCAAAACAAACAGAGGATTAACCTCAGCAGTATATTGCTCCTTCTTCAATGTTTTAACAGAAAAGGTGCTCCTTCATTTTAATCACTAGCCTACTGGGCACTTATACCCCCTTCCTGCCCAGGCCAATTTCCAGCTTTCAGTGCTGTCACACTTTGAATGACAATTGCACGGTCATACAACACTGTACCCATATGAAATTTTTATCATTTTTTTGAGACAGACAGAGCTTTCTTTTGGTGGTATTTAATCACCTCTGAGATTTCTATTTTTTCTTTTTTTTGAAAAAAAAAAAAGGTTTTTGTTATACAATTTTGTAAATAAGTGATTTTTCTCCTTCACTGATGTGCACTAATGAGGCTGCAGTGATGGGCACTGATAGGCTGCACTGATGGACACTGATAGGCACTGATGAGGAGGCACTGGTAGGTTGCACTGATGTGCATTGACAGGCATCACTGATGGGCACTGAAAGGCAGCACTGATATATGGCACTGATATATGGCACTGATAGGCGGCACTGACTGGCACTGATGGGTGACATTGAAAGGCAGCTCAGATGGGCACTGATATGTGGCATTGATGTGCACTGGTATGCACTGATATGTGGCACTTATGGCACGTGGCACTGACTGACTGGCACTGATGGACACTGACAGGTGACACTTCTGGGGCCACACTGATCAGGGCACACTCAGTGCCCTGATGATCAGTGCACATGTCCCCTCCGCGGAAAGCCGATTACCGGCTCTCCTCTCGAGCTGTCAGCGTGACAGCTTGAGAGGAGAGAAATGCCGATAACCGGCATTTCCGTGTTTACATGTGATCAGCTGTGATTGGACACAGCTGATCACATGACCGAGCCGACATCTTCGGCTCTTTCCGTGATCCGCGGTGTCCGAGGGACAGAGCGCACCGGCGATCACCGCGCTGCGCGCTCCCTGAACCGTGTATGCGCGGTGAGAATGGAAGGACGTCATATGATGTCCTATCAGAACGAGATAACCACCTTGCGCCCGTCATTGTACTATAGGGTGGGCAGAAGGTGGTTAGACAGCAGGATGGAGCGGGGGGGGTGCTCTCACCATCTGCCCAGTCTGAGCTGCTGCACTGGAGGTCAATTCAATTTTAAGATATTAGCCCACAGGTGTTAAACTGGCAGCTCTCCAGCTGTTGCCAAACTACAAGTCCCATGAGGCATTGCAAGACTGACGGTTACAAGCATGACTCCCAAAGGCAGAGCCATGATGGGACTTGTAGTTTTGCAACAGCTGGAGAGCCGCCAGTTTGACACCCCTGTATTAGCCCATTCCATAAAAACACTAGAACAGAAGCTTTACTGAGCAAGCTGCCTTTCAAGCTTTTGAAAACATTTTTTTCAAGGTTTCAGGCAACAGATTCTGCTGTGGTGGTACCCTTTGTTCTGAGAATTTTCAGGATTTCTAAAAAGAGGCAGTACAGAAGTTGTTGGTTGCCTTTGACTCTGTCTATGCAGCAGGTGAAGGAAGAAGGGTGGGGGGACAAGTAAAAGGAAGCGAGATCAAGATAGTATTTAACAGGGGAAGACAGGCATTAGTTGGATAACTTTCTGGAGTACTCGGTCACATATTAGATTGTCAGATCAATGATGTAGCACATGAGAAGATGGAAAGAGGAGAAACTATTTTATTATGTGTCCAACATTTAGGAAATGTGGCCAATAACCTCAGAGGTGTACTGTGTTCCTTAAAACAGGTATAAATAAACGTATTTGTGAGAGCGAGCTTTTTTCCATAATCTACAATTATGTACAGCATACCTGCAGATTGTGGCACACAACTACCCCTCCTTCTGTGCTGTCCACCTTTGATGATGGGTCCAATATACGGTCACTGCTGCCATCTCCACTGCTGATTCTTCTGAGTCCCGCGTCGATCCTTTTCTAGCATTGGGTAGATATGGATGATGGAACCCCTGGACATGCACGCTGGAGTTATATTGTCTCCAGCATCTAGCCCTTTTCTTAGCAAGCCGAAAATAGATCCGAGCTGTACACTGCATGGGAACAAGGTTTTGGCAAAAGAGACTTCATGTCTGTCCACCTAAATACCGATTTCTCCTGGTGACTGTATTACATGTTTAATGTCTCTTTCACAAACAGCAAGAGAAAAGTCCAGTATATAAAAAAATCATTTGATTTGGAGATTCACAAATGCGTACCAACAAAGTTTACACCACCATTACTAATCAGGCATATGGCAGAAATGATTACTTGAACTATAACTGATCAGGAATGTATGCTTGTGTTTTTAATTACATTCATTTTCTGCAGCTTACCTCATCAATAAGAATAAGGGGATTTTCAGTCTTTGTCTTTTTTAGGCACTGTATGATTTTCCCTGGCATGGCCCCAACATAAGTTCTCCTGTGAGAGTGCATAAAAGTATGTAATTTATTTAGCTTATAAGACGTTGTACAAAAAATGGCAAGTTTCCCCAGTTACAGGTTCTTTGATTTTACTGTTGTGGGTTTAGTAACACTTTAAGTTATAATAAGCATACAGTCTGTACATGCAGTAAAGCATGTCTGTTATACTCGCTGTGGAACCTAAGGGGTTAATCCTCCACATTGTGTAAAAAAGGCTGTTTGATCCTGTCTTCTCTGATCCTGCCCCCCTTCTACGGTCCCCAATCCATCTGCTGATATTACAGAGCTCTAGGAGTCACTCTGCACATGCTCAGTTTAGTGTTTATGGCTTATTTTTTCTTTGGGAGAGTGCATGTGATCAGCACAGGGCCAATTAGCACTGCCAACACAGCGGGTCGGAAGTCATGCAGCCTCACTGGCCAGTCAGAGCAAAATGAAAATTCTTTCACCAGTGCTCAGCTTGGCACTGATAGAAGTCACAAGACTGCTCTAACTGCTGTTGAGAAAAGGTATTTAGCAGTTTATATTTACTAAAATAATTGCATTTCCATGTTCTGTGTACTGCGGGATACCAGAATGCAAAGTCATGAGTTTAGTAACACTGTAAAGCAGAATGTTACGCATAACAACTTAATAAAAAAACAATGTTCTTTAGCAAGGAACATACATTCTACATTAATAATTATGCAAACAAAATTAGTGTGTGCTGTAAATTGCCTCCAGCATTGTTCCTGTTTCTTCTTGCCAGAGGCTGCCATTTTACTGAAGCCCAGAGTCCATGAGCAGCAGTAAATCATTAGGTTGTCAGCAGACAGGCCTCTAGTGGCTCTGATTTTAGGCACAGTGCCAAAAAACAGAGAGCAACTGAGCATATGTAAAGCAGGGTTAGATAGTGTATTACTGTTTTTTAAACAGTATAGGCACTTATTTTTAATGTTCTACATATCTATACCTGCAAAAGAGCCAGCAAGAAGTGATCTAGCAGGACTTAATTTTCTGACTGAAGTTCAAAAGTCCCAAAAATCATGCACAGACCAGCCTCCAATAGGCTAAACACATTTCTAAAACCTACCCAGCTGGCCGATACATTTTGTAACAACATTTGGACTTGTTAAAGTAGTGCAAATAGGTAAAAAAAATGTGCCAAGTGAGGAACCAGAGCTGCCAACCAATCAGATTTCAGCTTCTGAGAGTCAGATTAGTGTAGTGTAAGATGACTGGATAGAATGGGCTAATGTATTTAGCATAATGCTTTGTGCCCTATTTAGACTAATAATATTTTAATACCAAATTATGTATATATATATATATATATATATATATATATATATAAAAAACATTACATCTTAATTGGCATAAATAAATTGCAGCTCTTGAGCATTAAAGCATTAAGTAACCTAACACCTAGTTTGGCTACCAGAATCAGCATGTCACATGAATACAGATCATAGAGAGTCTACTAATATCAGCCAGGCAGGCCATGATAAAAGGGTTTGTATTTCTGTCCATCCAGACCTGAGCTTTAACACAGGCTTGCTAGACAGCAAAACCACAATGGTCACCTGACTTTTGTCAACTGCAGTCAAATAACTTAGCAAGGTCACTTCCTAGGACTGGAATATAAATGTGAAGCAGCACATAGATGAGCTCACTTCTTTGCCCTCTTCTTCTAGTAATATTTATCATGTCAGCTCAAGTTGCATCCAGCACACACTGCTGCTCCTTGTCCTATTTCTACTGTATGGAGTACAAGAAGCTAACACAAATTCAGGTACTCACACGAACTGGATTTAAAAATGGATGTCATGATTTTTTAATAATTATATAATTGGATGATTTTGTGTTTATTTTATATCTACCTGGAGTGCAGTATTAGGAGAAGCAGTTTGTAGTACATTATGCAATGTATGAAATATATCATGTTCTTTTGCAGGAATAGAAAAAAAAAAACACTAGCTGCCTAAAAGAGTTCTTTTACATTGTAGTACATAAATACTTTTCATAGGATACAGTCTTATTCACTTAAATTCCTTGAGACATACAAGTATCTCTTACCTATGACCCTTAATCTCAGCTACGTCAGTCATTCCTCCAACACTAAAGCGGAAGTATTCCCTGTTCAAGGCACGTGCAATGGAACGGGCAATGCTAGTTTTACCCACTCCAGGTGGCCCGTAAAAGCAAAGAATCTTCCCCTGGGTACTTCCACGTAACTGACTTACAGCTATAAACTCCTGTAAAAATATAAAAACATAGGACGGTGATCACATTGTAGCTTCTTGTTAAAATTAATCATTGTGCTCCATCTAGCCATCTTGCCCTGGACTTAAAGCAGACATAAAAGTAACAGTATGATTAATAACAAAGTGCCTAATCATTAGTAGTGCTGTGAAACAATATTAACAAATAAAATAACACCATTAAATAAAATAAACAAATGAATATCAAAGCGATCAAATGTTCTTGAACACAAGTTGTTGCAAAAAAAAAGTGAATAATCCAAAAAAACAGTGTGAATGTGATCAGTTCAAAGGATTAATTTTCTTAAAAAAATAAAATGTGATATGTCCACTCTTTATCCTCTTCCACCAAAATGTATCACCAGCGTGTCCAACATCCCTAACCACTTGCTCTCCGGAAGATTTATCCCCCTTCATGACCAGGCTACTTTTTGCCATTTAGAGCTGCACTACTTTAACCTGCCTGGCGGTATTCCCGAGTGTAGCTCGGGGTAAAGTTTCAGTACCACAAGCGGTAACCCCGAGCTACACTCGGGCTTACCATGCGGCGCTGCTCCGGGATCACTTAGCTTGTCCTGCGCTCCCACAATGTCCCTGGCAATGTAATCCGGTGGATGCAGGCATCTGTCATCTAGGTTCCGTCCCCTGCGAGCGTCGGGACGTACGGAGGACGGAACGGCGGGAAATTTGAAAAATGACAAAAAGTGACATTCGCTAAAATCACATAGTAAAACATTACTGTATCAAACCATTTCACATACATTTTGTCCCTAGTGCTTTGTCCTGTGCCCTGCCTGCATTTTTACTGTTCTTTCTGCCTGGAAACGTCCATGGCGTCCAAAAAGCGTCCCTTTAGGTCAAAAGCGGTTTTAGACCAGCTAGAGAACAGCGATAGTAAATTATATCCACTTGCAGAATTGAGTGATAATGATTCGTGGGGAAATTCGTCATCAGACACTGAAAATAATTTTGCGGCTTTGCTCAGTGATGTGCGAACTTGGCGCTATATTTCACATTTCAATGTTTTTGGTTTGAGATTATTTAATTACATTTATTATATTACTTATTAAATTATAATTTATGATTTCGTGTTTCAAGTTTTATCCTACCCGGGATGTTTACTAGACTCTTGTTCGGACAGATTTCAGTGAGTTATTCCTAAAAATTACAGGCCTACAATAAAAAAAAAAAATACATATTTCCATGCAAAAAATTGTACCACTTTGAGCACAGAAATATGGACATAATCAGACCGCTAGGGAGTTTAACTGACAATTGTGCGGTCATGCAACACTGTATACAAATGAAATGTATATCTTTTTTCACACAAATAGAGAGCTTTCTTTTGGTGGTAATTGATCTTCACTAGGTTTTTAATTTTTTGTGCTATAAATGAAAAAAAGACCGAAATTTAAAAAATAAGTATTTTACACTTTTTGCTATAAAACATTTCCAATAAAAAAAAAATATAAAAAAAAAAAATTCTTCATACATTTAGGCCAAAATGTATTCTGCTACAAGTCTTTGGTAAAAAAAAATCCCAGTAAGTGTATAGTAATTGGTTTGCATGAAAGTTAGTGTCTACAATTTGCGGTATATATACTGGAATTTTTTATTTCTAGTAATGGCGGTGATGAGTGACTTATAGCGAGCATTCTGACACTAACTGACACTGGGTGGGGGCTAACTGCCACTGAGACAGTGATCAGTGCTAATAAAAAGCACTGACGTTGTACTAATGACAAGAGAGAGATCTGTGTTGTTTGTTGTTGCTGGCTGGGACCTGGTGATTGACACCTATGGGAGCCAATGACAGCACAGGTAGTACAGCGAGTGCACCCCTACCCGGAAATGCAAAATCACGTATATATACACGTGATGTTGTGCAGAACGGCTGCCCTGTAGCATAACAACTGCTATAGGGTGACTGGGAAGTGGTTAAGATGGCATAGGCAGTGACAGGTACTCTTTAATGGGAGATTAGGGACTCTATAAGACCCCTGATCTCTCCCCTCTGCCCTCAAAAGCATATAATCACACCACTGCCTAGCTAGTAACAGCTAGCAAACAACCAAAACGTGACAAAATCTTTTTCACTTCCAGAATCATTCATCATTCAGCTTGACAGTACAGCAGTCCTGGAGACCCTGATGGGCCTGACAGAGCCTGGGAAGGCGACAGAAAGGGGAGAGGGTTGTACAGCTACATGGATCCCTTAAAGCTCATTGCCGGCTGAAAATGTTGATACCGGGATCATGGCTGCATGTCCTAAGGGCTGGGTGTTAAATATCAGTCTATATCCCTTATACTCACAAGGATTCTCTTTTTGACATCTTCCATTCCATAGTGATCTTCCTCCAAAACGTCCTCTGCTCTCCGCAAATCCAAGTTCTCTTGACTGTACTTTCCCCAAGGAATGGAAGTTAGCCAGTCAAGGTAGTTTCTTGTTACACTGAATTTGTGAATGAAAACAAAATTAGATTAAGGTCATCAAAGCAATGTAAACACAGATAATTGCTAAAGCTTACAGAGCAGAAAAATTAAGCCAAAATATTTATAAAAATAAGTAAAGCAGGAACAAAAATCAGTCTCTAGACATTACTAAATTATGCTGAAGAGCATAACACTCTAATTCGTAGAAAGAAAAAATAAGACATTGCTCAGAACAATAGATTGGGTTTCTGCTTTTATATTTTTGTGCACTGAAAAAAATTACAGCTAAAGACTCATGGGCAACACCACGTGTATCTCGGCACACGCTCTGAAAAACCAACAACTTTGAGTGTGTAGAGTACATGCCCTTCTCCTCCCTTGCCCCATTTACTGGCCAAATGCCAATGATAGGATAGTGACAGTAAGAGTTACAATGCAGTGTTAATGCAACATTGTTATTAGTCTGGCTCAATCATAGCAGGTGAAAAAGTGATCTTTGATGTCAGTGAAATATTAATTATATAGCTGTTTGAGCAAAAAAGTACAAATGTAAATGCAGAGCACTCCATGAGCTAGCCCAGCTCTGGAGGTGAATTTTTTTAAATTATTTAGATATACTAGATTTGACTTGATTTCTTGTTATTTTCGTATAACTATAGGGGTCTAAATACAGTTAAGTGTCCTGATTTGGTTCCCACCCATGATCCTATGAAGCAACAGACCTCTTGTAAAAAGGGGGGTAACAAAATTGGAGTGATATTTTTATTTTAGAGTCATTTACTTTAGTCTACCCTGAAGTAGAAGACAGTATCGGTTTCTCACTTGAATTCAGAGGAATGGTTGTCAAGTAGTCCCAGTTTGCCAAGCTCTTCATCAATGACCTCCATGACATGTTTAGGAACTGTAAGGATTTTTAAACGCTCTCTAAACTTCTCCTCAATAGCATCTTTGTCTTCTTTTTCCAAGCCCAGCTCTTTCTTGATAATCTTTAGCTGTTCTTGTAGGAGATACTTTCTATGCGTTTGTTTGATCTTCTCTTCAACCTACAAGACATTAGAAACAGTGAGCTTGTCACACAACTGCACTAAAATTTCTCCTAAACCAAGAAGAATCAGCACAAGGGACACATCATAGTACATGCAAGGTATGTCCTACGTTGTAATTTTCATATTTGCAATTTAGGCCAATACAAGTGAGTTCTTCATGTCTCTGTCTCCATAAATACAAAAGCCCTCCCCAAAAAAAGCTGAAGAATGGATAATCTATGCCACATATGACCTTTGAAGTAAGATTTTACTTTTAGATATAAATATCTGAGGAAAAACTATTTTGTCTTGCTGAGCATGAAATTACCAAAGCCTCAGGATTGTTAACAAAATGTGGTAAATGATACTCGTGAGCCAAAATGAGATACTCCCCTTAACGTGATGAATAATAAACTGGGACCATATATAGCTACTGGTGCATCAGCACTTTACACACTGCTCATTATCTGTGTTAAACCTTAAACTCAGGATTGTTAGAAACTGTTAACTGCTAGGATAGGAAAGGTATGGGAGAAACAAAACCAAAAACTTTCTTTTATTTTATTAATTTTTTAATCACCTCTCGGCCCAGACGCTGTTGTAGCTTGCTTAGTTCAAATTCTTTCTTTAACAATGAAAGAGATTTGTACAGGCGTTTTGGGATCTGTAGAATAAAAAAAACATTATGGATTACTTATATGATAAAAAATACCCAAACAAACAAGTGTCATGCAAGGGCAAAAACAACATCACTTAATTTCATTTTTCAGTGATCACTGCATGCATACAATCAACGTTTCATCATCTCTACTTACATTTGTCTCTTCTAATACATCCTGCAGTTCCTGGGAATCGGCCCCAGTCAGTGCTGCACCCATGTCACTTAAGTAAATAGGATTGTCCACCACTCTCTGTCCAGCTTGCATCATCTGCATTACAGATTCCCTTTCATAGATAACAGGGAAGAAAACAGCTCATTATAAGAATGCATATCATTACCACATCCTTTACTTTAAAAGTACAGCACACATACAATGCTCTAAGCTGCTCTCCATGTATGTTGCTTAGCTGTAGCAGGATTGTGCTCCAAACATGCACCTGAACTGTGATTGAAAGGTAAGATCACACGGACTTCAGAAATTGAAGCTTGTAACAATTGTGAAATTCTCTCACAATGGTCAAGTCAGTTTCACAAGAGTAAAGCAAAATAAAAACTGAACATCAAAATCCACCACTGGTCAGACAGAAGCTTGATCTATTGAATTCGCAAGAATCACTTATTAAACAAAAAAATAATATACTGTTCTTTTCCACATTTTATGCCATTTTTTTGTAAACTATCTGTCCACAAAAGGCTGAAATTTATTTCTTAACATTAAATAGCTCTCTATTAAACATCTACATGCACCATGTATGCAATAATCCAAAAAAAGATCATCAGTATCGAGAGTCTGTAGACACTTTACAGAAAAAAAGATCACTATTTTTTTTTTTTTTTTAATTTTTTTAGTTCCCGACATGACAAAGTACACACAACACTTTGTTCCTTCTTCCTAGGTGGCCTGAAACACGCTGCAATGTTAGAAAGGGCACCCCCCTTGGCCTTCCAACACTGCAGCTAGCAATGAGATGGCTGCTTTGTAACGTCTGTCTTCAGCTTCTAGCACTAGCACATGGAATGTAGAGGGAGGCGATTTGTGTCAGTGCTTGCCTTGGGAAAGTGTGCTAGAAGCCAGACACAGGCTGCAAGTAATTAACTAAATAATGTTTAAAAAAAAAAAAAAAAAAAAAAAGAATAAAGTAGTGTTAATTCTTTTTTCATTTGGAACTCCAGCCAAAACATCTTTCTATTTTTGGATAATAAATGGTTACTGCCTTTGAATGGGTACTGCCTTTGTCAGGTTTTCACGCTGCCTGAATCCCACCTACCCCATTTGTCCCTGTGAACACTGGGACAGAAAGTGAGGGAAAAAAAAAAAGAAAATCAGAAATAAAATTGGGATACTCATAGTGATAAATGGCAAATGTGGGATTTTCCCCCAACTTTCTGTTGCCTCTGAAAGTTTTGTCTTAATAAAGTAACAGTTAAGCACAACATATTGTCTTAGTCATACCTGTATAGTGGATTCAAAGCAATAATATCACGGATAGTTTTTCACTATTTCAGCAGTGAGAGCCTAAGAAAGACAAAAGGGCATTAGATACATAAAATATTTTTTTTTTACCTATAAATAAAAGGTTACTTCATCTTAAAAAAAAAAAAAAAAAAAAAAAAAAAAAAAAACACAACCTCCAACTCTCTATATACATAAATATAGTCTATTAAATACGAATTCTCATTTAGAAATCCATATATTCACTGTCTGGTCTGTGCGGGATTGTATAGCGTTTACCGATGCCTGCATTTTTCCAGCTTTAAAAAACACGTGCACACCTAGGGTACAGCTCTGGCCATAACTGAATAATGGCCAATTAGCCCAGTCCCTATCTTCCCCTTACTGCATGTTCCAAACAAATGCCACTATTCTCTATGGCTGGAACCTTATGCCAGATTCTCTAGGCCGATAAGAGCATTACAGGTGGTGAACATTGTGCTTGTCCTGTGTAGTAAATAGGTCCATTTGTAAAGAAAAGAGGCATTCTATTGTGTGGACTGAGGAAAATTAAGATTTGTTTAGAATAAAGTGCATTTATTCCTTAACCTTGGGTTTGAAGTGGCTGTCACCTTATATTTTCTCTGGTATGCCTACATTTTCTTGACTTCTTGGCTATGCTTCCCTAACTGCATTCCAATGTGAAATGAGAATACCCTTACTGGCTACTGAAACGGTCTCATTTGACAGTAAAAAGAACTGAATCCTCAAAGCAAGGTGCCAGTTACAAAGCTAAACAAAATAAGAGAGGGCCACTGTGGTTTGTGGCAGATGGTTGTGGAGATGAAACAGATTTCATAGCGCAATGTGAATGTTTTTCACATTACAGATCTAAATTGCTAATGTACAAAACTCAATGTTTGATGTCAGCAGCCATCTTGGGATCACAATATGTGCATTAACTGCTTCCTGACCGCCCTATAGGAGAAATACTGCTACAGGGCGGCACAGGTGCGCAAAAATCACGTACATATGCGTGATTTTGCATTTCCGGATAGGGGGCACACACACCATTCGCGGCTGCGAAAATAGCGAAAAAATACAAAAAAAACGCACAGGCGATCAAATACCACTGGAAGAAAGCTCAATTTGTGGAAAAAAAAAAAAAAGTACTTAAATTTAATTTGGATACAGCGTTGCATGACAGCGCAATTGTCAGTTAAAGTAATGCAGCGCCGTAACGCAAAAAAAATGGCCTGGTCAGGAAGGGGGGGGGGGGGGTAATTCCTCAGGAGGGCAAGTGGTAAAAAAAAAAAAAAAAAAAAAAAAAAAAAAAACACAATGTAAATGATCATGCTCTTACTTTCACTTCTTCAGTTATCTGGAATTCTTCATGTGTCACATTATCAACTTCGACCATAAGGACTCCTGGCGGGGAGTTTGGATCCACAACTACTTGCTCTCTCTTGGCAACCTCATTGGTGTTCCTGATTGCTGGACTTCTTCGTCTCTTTTTCCCGTCTGCTTTCTCCTCAGGATTTGGATCGTCCGCTTCAATATCTAGCTGCTTATTGATGCGGATCCTGCATATTAGAATTCATGATTCAAGGCTTTTCTATTCTCATTTGAATTTTTATATATTTTCAAAGTACAATCTGAAGATTTTTTTTATATTCCAAATATAGTTAAGTCTCCAGTCTCAGCTGGTTAAAAGTCTGTAAAATGATGAAAAGTGAAAATTCCTTTAACTGAATCAAATCTCTTTCATTAGCCTCCACAGAAGCAGATTAATGGACATTATTATGTATAAACATTTACAGTAAAGCTATGTGGTCTTGCTTGCAACATGTAACTCAAAAATAGCTGATTGTATTAGGGACTATGTCGATGGGCTTTCAGATTGTGTCAATGGCTTCAGTTTGACATCCATTTGAGATGCACCGGAGTTCATTCAGAAGTAAAAAGGTGCATTTGACCTTCTCCAAGAGGGCTTTGATTTATCAAGGCTGGAGAGTGTAAAATCTGGTGCAGTTGTGCATGGTAGCCAATCGGCTTCTAACTTCAGCTTGTTCAATTACGCTTTTAAAAAAAAAAAAAAAAAAAAACCTTGAAGCCAATTGGTTCCTATGCAGAGCTCTACCAGATTTTGCATTCTCCTGTTTTAGTAAATCAATTCCATACTGTTGTTTGGGGATGCAAAACCTTCTTGATGTGTACAAAAGCCCATTGACACAGGCCCTAATAGGCTGAAAGACAGCTTGCTTTCTGACAGATTCCAAATATGCCAAATCCAAAACTGAAATACATAGGCCTTACCTATAAGGATTTGGCTAGGGCTCAGGAAGAATGAATAGTCAGAATACATGTCTAGATGCCAGAGTAGAAAAATTACTCATATTCTTTTAGCTATATAAGGTGTTATTGCATTTAATTATTACACAGTTGAACATTTACCAATCATTTTTAAATCAGGTTGCTATTTCATTTAGCAAAGTATAACTTTTTCTGTGTATACATCACCCCTTGAATCTGGCATCATGGTCAATCAAATGAGACAGATTTGCACTCAGGTATACATGAAAAAAAGTTGGACATTAGGACAGGGAAATTAGGGTTTGCTGTTGGCAGTATCTATATGAATGCAAAGAATGCCTCAGACCACCAGACTCTGCCAGCAATTGCTGCTTTTGTATCACCATAATACAAAATAAATAAATAAATAAAAGAATAAATGCTTCATATAAACATTTTATAATGGTTCAATATGTGGTTTTTCTAGTAAGATCAATTTCTCTGCGGATCCTGTAATTATAGTGAGCACCAATACTTGCATCAAAACACATACCTCCTATGACCCATAACGATCATTCGCAGCTTGTCTTCCATGTCCTGCATCTCATGGATCTGAACAAATGTACCAGTGTGGAAAATTTCATCCAGGCTTCCAACCAAATCTGACTCATTACTATTGTTCACCAGAAAGAAAAGAAAAAGTTTTACTGACAAATGAAAAAAAACACCGACACAAAATACAAATATATATATATATATATATATATATATATATATATATATATATATATATATATATATATATATATATACACATACATACATACATACACACACATACATATATACACATACACACACACACACATATATATATATTTTATCACTGTGTTGCCTTGAGAGATGGACCATACAGTCCCTGGAATGTTGTGGTTTTTTTTACCTTTTGCAATGCTGTCTTCACAAACAATACATCTATTTGGTGTGCTGGTGAGTTTACATATTAACAAATTAAGGCTGGCACCAGGGTTGTCAACTCCACACACAAGCATTTACAATCAGCCTAAACAATCATGAATGTTCATGGAAAGATGTTTCACAACTGTTGCAAATGATGCCCCCATGTACACAGATAATTAAGACATTGGCACAAAATGAGAAGACCAATTTCTCATGTACAGTCAGGTCCATAAATATTGGGACATCGACACAACTCTAACATTTCTGGCTCTATACACCACCACAATGGATTTGAAATGAAACTAACAAGATGTGCTTTAACTGCAGACTGTCAGCATTAATTTGAGGGTATTTACATCCAAATCAGGTGAACGGTGTAGGAATTACAACAGTTTGCATATGTGCCTCTCACTTAAGGGACCAAAGTAATGGGACAATTGATTTCTCAGCTGTTCCATGGCCAGGTGTGTGTCAAGGTCCTACCTTTCTTCAGAGCTTGTGCATCTCCATGAGCTGGCATCAATCTTGGTTTTCTGCAAAGCATGGTGGGAACCTTTATGCCTTCAGGCTTCTGCGGCTCCTCCTCAGAAGGGTGTGGTTGAGCACATTTAAACCTGCTGTCTGCAAGTGTGCTCTGCACTTGTGTCCTGTATGTTGCCCTGTTGCAAGCTCTTGTGTTGTTCCCATTGCTCTCCTGGTAACCGACTCGCTTGGACAAGACTACTCTCTGCGTTAACCCTTTATCTGACCTCCCGTTGCTGAACCCGGCCCGTGACCTGAGTATTCTTTGCCTACCGTCTAGTACTGTCTGCTCCGTTGTTATTGACCCGGCTTGTCTGGACTACTCTACTCGTGTTCCCATCTAGCTCCCACCAGCTGTACGCCATTGGCGGCAGTCGTTATCGCAGCTGGGGTCACTCAGGGGCCGCGACCTGGTCTCAGGCTTCGTCAAGTCCATCCCCACCATCAGGGGCCCTGGTGAAGGGTAGCCTGGGGCTTAGACTCCGCGCCCTGAGGGACTCTGGTCTGTCGGTAGTGGCTGTCGTCAGTCGCAGCGTGACCGTACCATAGGCCTGCCTGCCCATTCCAGCGTTCCTGCCCTGACAGTGTGTGTTATTCCCTCATTATCCCAATTACAATGAGCAGATAAAAGGTCCAGAGTTGATTTCAAGTGTGCTATTTGCATTTGGAATCTGTTGCTGTCAACTCTCAAGATGAGATCCAAAGAGCTGGAACAACATCCTATGGACAGATGAGACCAAGATCAACTTGTACCAGAGTGATGAAAAGAGAAGAGTATGGAGAAGGAAAGGAACTGCTCATGATCCTAAGCATACCACCTCATCAGTGAAGCATGGTGGTGGTAGTGTCATGGCGTGGGCATGTATGGCTGCCAATGGAACTGGTTCTCTTGTATTTATTGATGATGTGATTGCTGACAAAAGCAGCAGGATGAATTCTGAAGTGTTTCAGGCAATATTATCTGCTCATATTCAGCCAAATGCTTCAGAACTCATTGGACGCCGCTTCACAGTGCAGATGGACAATGACCCAAAGCATACTGCAAAAGCAACCAAAGAGTTTTTTAAGGGAAAGAAGTGGAATGTTATGCAATGGCCAAGTCAATCACCTGACCTGAATCCGATTGAGCATGCATTTCACTTGCTGAAGACAAAACTGAAGGGAAAATGCCCCAAGAACAAGCAGGAACTGAAGACAGTTACAGTAGAGGCCTGGCAGAGCATCACCAGGGATGAAACCCAGCGTCTGGTGATGTCTATGCGTTCCAGACTTCAGGCTGTAATTTACTGCAAAGGATTTGCAACCAAGTATTAAAAAGTGAAAGTTTGATTTAAGATTATTATTCTGTCCCATTACTTTTGGTCCCTTAACAAGTGGAAGGCACATTTGCAAACTGTTGTAATTCCTACACCGTTCACCTGATTTGGATGTAAATACCCTCAAATTAAAGCTGACAGTCTGCAGTTAAAGCACATCTTGTTCGTTTCATTTCAAATCCATTGTGGTGGTGTATAGAGCCAAAAAAGCTAGAATAGTGTCGATGTCCCAATAGTTATGGACCTGACTGTATATGTAAAAAATAAGGCCAGTGAAGAAATAAAAACTGCCACTGGCTGGAGAATGATGTAAAAAATTTTCTGTATATTGGTAGCTCTCATCCAAAAGGTTACATGAGCTAAATCTATGAAACACCATAGACCAAATCCTTAGAATCTTTTTCAAAAATGCATGTCAGAAACAAAGACTAAATGCTTAATTCCCCAAAGCTTTAATATGATGGGCACCCCTAGTCAAGGGAGGCAAGAATTGAACTAGGCCAAGCTTGGTCATTATCAAATGAAAGTGGTTTAAAAAGGGGGGGGGACATGGCTTGGACAGCAATGTAAGAAGCAAAGGCAGCAGCTCTCTGCTACCATCCTGATTTTTCTCATCCTGGGACTGCCTTCATCCTACAGAGATCTCCAGCTAGAAGCATGTATTCCTCTGTTCCATCTAAACCCTTTTTGTTGCACTTCTACCCGCCCAGCCATGACTGAAAAGAATAAAGAAAAAGGCAGTGGTGGCAAAGCAGTCCATTCCAAGATTGTGCCAGAGCACAGAGAGCCATGAAGGAGAGTCTCAGGGACACAATGGCATGCGATTTAAACCCGTGTATGGACAAATATAGCACTGCTCGGAGTGTGCCAACTAATAAAACTTCAGAAATTCTGAAGGAACCCTGTGCACACTGCTATATACCATTTCCAGCAAACTTTGCAATAAAAAAAGGAGGGATTTTCAGTTCACACATATTTCAATACATATACAAGTCTGTATGCAGTTGGCCAGAGTAAATATGTATTGCAATATGTGTGAACTAAAAATTTTCTGGAAAGGGTATATAGCAAGGTGCAGAGGGTTCCTTCAGAATTTCTAGTGTTAATATGTGGTTACACCCCTTTGGCACCTGATGGATAAATGCATGTACAAGTTATTGGGATTTGAGTACAGGTATATCTTGTTTGTTTACCTACTGATACTCCCATACCCTTTGCCACGTTCCTCCAGCAAACTGGCCTTACCAATGTCTGGAGGTTACAACATACTACTGAACACTGCTACTGAATATCCAGAATTACCTTGGCACTGGGAAAGGCACCACCCTGCCTTATTTACTCTGCCGGAAGCCTGTCAGACCACACCCCTTGCTCCTCTCTTTGGAGGTAAATAACAGTCCATATCAAAGGCAGATTCTACAAGATCAATACTTACTGGTTAACGTGGTCATAAAGGCTCAAATTTTTTTGTGCATTCTATGCATGAAGGTAAAAAAAAACCCAAAAACATTCTGTGGCAGCCCCCAATACTAACCTGAGCCTCATCGCAATCCAGCGATGTGCATGAGAGCCTCCTCTCTCCAGGGACTCTCCCTCCTCATTGGCTGAGACAGCAGTGGGAGCCATTGGCATTTTTTGAGGAGGTGGAAAACAGGGACACCTCCTGGCCATTATAGCTAAATCCCGACGACCTCTGACTTTTATTAGTGCAAATAATGATGCCACTATAACATCTCCCACAGACACAGCCTCGGTGTTTAGCTTCTTCTAGCACGATTTATACAGCAATAAAGTATCCCACAAGGAAAATGCCTTGTTACTATTCCTAGACTCTTATAAATTTGCCCACTGTGTTCCCCGACAGCACACTCTAAACTGGACTCTATCACTCTAGAAGAGCTACAAAAAGCTCTGTCTGGATTACCTAATAACAAGGATCCCAGCGCCGATGGGCTATTGGGAGAAATATATAAAACATACAGCAATATCCTGCTTCCCGAACTGTTAGCCATGTCTAATGAAGCTTATGACCTTGGAACACTCCAACCTATCAATGAAGGGAGTATAGTTGTTCTCTTGAAGCCTGACAAAAAAATCCTCTTAAACCTGAATCACATTGACTGATTTCCCTTCTAACATCCAATATCAAGCTTCTTGCAAAAGTGTTGCTAACCGCTGATCTAAACTCATTGGCGCTATAATCCATCCTGACCAGGCAGGCTTCACACCGACTAGATCATATGAATAGTAAATGTGATGAATGTAATGGCTGCCCCCTGAATTCTATTAAAAATTGCCCACCCCAGTTCTACAAAGCTATTTCATACTTACTTGTCATCTCTCTTGAGAAAAACTCCAGCATACGGTTGGGCAAGCCTTACTTTACGCCTTAGAAGAGCCATAAGATTTGGGTTTCTGACCTTCAGTTGAGAATAAAAATACAATTTAGTATATAAATAAATAAAATATAATAAAAATATTAATTTATATTAGTATAGCTCAGTTATTCTATATACAGAAATGTCAAACAGTCTTACTATATACAATGCATTCAGTCTGAAACTGAACCTGTGTTTGTGCCCATACAAAGGCCTGGAAGCTGGAAATGACATTTTTACATTTCCTTTTCTGGAGGGTGGTGGGGGGTGGGGCTAGACCTTTTAGTCCATCTTACAAAAACTTGCCTGTGATTTATTGTGTTGGCCCATGAGCCCTACCCCATAAAACCCATGGTTTACGTATACTGCTTTGGTAGCCTGCATTAGTTTGGAATGAGTGGCTGTATTTTTCCTTTAATCCATCAGCTCTATTATGTACAGTAGACTATTACTTTATTGCAGATCTGCAAGGGACATTTCATCAGACTGTGGTTAAAAATCCAAGGCCATCACACCAAGGCTGTGCACGTCAAAATTGATGCATACAAGGTCAGTTAACTGAAAAGCATTTGTAAATGAAAATAAAACATGAAGTTTGCTGGAGGTTCAGAAATTTTTTTTCTGTTAAAATCGATTGGTCTGTGCATTTATGGCAATAGCTCTTATGGTGCAAGGAAGGCCATAGATGGGCAGATATCTTGCCTGAGAAGGATGATCTTGGAACCTAAAGGATAAGTCATTACATGTTACACCCATATTCAGGGAGTAACATGTTACAAATGCACCAGCCCCTGCACCCCCGATCCCCCATTTTGACAGCTAGCGGGGGATCTTCTGCTCCCACTAGCTGTCACAATTTAAAGAAAAAAAAAAAAAAAAAACGCCTTTGAGGCTGTCGGCTTGTAGTTCTCAATGAACATGGCACTGTGAGCGCTGTGGTAGTTTACAGAGTCGTCCCGTTAGCAAGTATTGGCTTCCCTGTACAAGGTACGAGGAAGTAGATACACTGACAGGACTGCAGGAGACCTGCATGGCATCAGCGATCGCTGGTGACATGCTTTATAGGCTTCCAAAACAAAAAAAAAGATAAATGCACATTTTTTCACCTGCAAAAAAAAAAAAAAAAAAAAAAAAAAAAGCACTTTTATTAATTTTTGTTTAAAGGTGAACGTATCCTTAAAAGTGGTTGTAAACCCCTACATTTACGCAGTGAAGCAAATGGCCTCACGTGATACACAGAGATGAAACAAATCCTCCTACGTAAGTTGTACCTGTTTATCTATAGCTTCTGTCCCCTACATCCATTCAGATTGCTGAATTTACACAGTATCTCAGCTCTGAAAAGCAGGGGGAGGAGAGCTGAAGTTACATTCAGTAAGGAGAGCTCTAAGAGATGATTGGAGGGAAGCAACACCCCCCCTCCACACAGCACACAGGAACAGAGCTGAGGCTGTCAATCACAGGCTGTGCCCTATCCTCCCATAATTTTTCTTTTGGTGTCAGGAAAACTGATCAGAGGGGATTCGGGCTGATAGCAATAGAACGAGGCAGCAGACAGAAATGACACTTCGTGCTCTGGATTGAGACAAGTACACACTATAGAGGGATATGATTTGTTCATATTTCATATCTGAGGTTTACAACCACTTTAAGAATTTGCAGCAATTCTTTTAACAGTGACAGCGGCACAGATGTGGTATTTCACATTACCCCAGTCCCAGTTCACCCAATCTGAGGTCTAAACCACAAATAGTTAAATTACACATTATTATTTATTATCCATCACTCCTGCCAGCACATACCAGGTTTCCTATTTTATATTACACTGTTAGCCAATGTAGACATGATGGGAAAAAGCTAACCAGGACTCCACTGTCAGGACTCGATGACAAAAGTAAAAAAACCAACATGACCAAGCGTCAGCTAGGCTCATTTTATGTTACATTCAAACAAGTAAAAATTCTGTTTATTTCTTACCGTTTTAAGACAAGTTTGTTTTTTCCTTTTTTAACCACTTGCCCTCCGGAGGATTTACCCGCCTTCCTGACCAGGCCTTTTTTTTTTGCTATTTGGCGCTGCACTATTTCAACTGGTAATTGTACGGTCATGCAATGCTGTACCCAAATTAAATTTACGTCCTTTTTTTTCCCACTTTCCACACCTGTGCGCTTTTTATTTTTTGCGCTATAAACAAAAAGAGACCAAAAAAAAAAAAAAAAACAATATTTTTTACTTTCGGCTATAAAAAATATGTAGTAAACTCAAAGTTAGTCATAAATTTAGCTCAAAATGTATTCTGCTGCATGTCTTTGGTAAAAAAAAATCCTAATAAGTGTATATTGATTGCTTTGTGTGAAAGTTATAGCGTCTACAAACTATGGTATAGATAATGCAATTTACGACATTTTTTGCTATACAGAGCTGCAGTAGTTTAACTGACAATTGCGCAGTCATGCAATACTGTACATAAATTAAAAATTATGTCCTTTTTTCATACAAATAGAGTTTTCTTTTGGTGGTATTTGATCACCTGTGTGCTTTTTATTTTTAGCGCTATAAACAAAAAAAAAAAGACCGAATAGATAATGGAATTTACACAGCTTTTACTTTCTGACTGCTCATCACATTCCTTGAGGTGCTAAAATACCAGGATAGTACAAACACCCCCAAATAACCCCTTGTTGGAAAGTAGACACCCTAAGCTATCTACTGAGAGGCATATTGAGTCCATGGAAGATATTTTTTTTTCCCCACAAGTTTTTGGAAAATGACAATTTTTTTTTTTTTTTTTTTTTTTTTACACAAAGTTGTCACTTAAATAATATATTGCTCACACAAGCCATGGGTATATGTGGAATTACACCCCAAAATACATTCTGCTACTTTTACCGAGTATTGGGGTACCACATGTGAGAGACTTTTTGGGAGCCTAGCCACATACAGGAGCCTGAAATATACATGCGATCAGCTGTGATTGGACACAGCTGATCACATGACCGAGCTGACATCTTCGGCTCTTTCCATTGATCGGTTATCCGTTGTGTCAAAGGGACACAGCGCACCACCAATCGCCACACTGCGCGCTCCTGGAGCCGTGCACGCACGGTTAGAGTTGGAGGACGTCATATGATGTCCTCCCAGAACAAGAGAACCACCTTGCGCCCGTCATTACCTTATATGGTGTCATTGGACACAGCTGATCACATGGTAAAAGGCAGCTGTAACTGGCCTTTTACTTATCACGTGATCGGTCTTTTACCTCACATGATCAGCTGTGTCCGTAGGACACAGCGATCACAGAGACTGCCGGGTGTGTGCCACTGGGGACGTGTGGGAGGGCGTGTTCTAGGATGCCCTCCCAGAACTGGACAACCATGCTGTAGCCGTCATTCAGCTATAGTGCAGTTGGCAAGAGGTTAAAAATCTGTATTTTTTGCTAGAAAAGTTACTTAGGACCCCCAAACTAGAGATGCACAGAAATTTCGGTGACCAAAATATTTCAGCCAAAAATACCCCTATTGGCCTTTGGCCGATATGAAAATAGGCATACGGAAATATGAAAATGTTGCCCAGTGGTTCTCAGGCTTGCCTGAGAACCCATCCAACGATCCTGGCGTTGGGCATAGAGATCAGTGAAGCAAAGATGGCCTCCACTCATCTCTATGCCCTTGAAGGACTGGAGTGATGGCATACGTCACTTCTGGTTTTTTAAGCACTAGATCAATGGTTTTTTTGACTAATGCTTTACATTGTAGAGAGAGATCTGGGGTCTTATTGACCTCATATCTCTTCATAAAGAGGACCTGCCACTGCTTATTTGTATCACAAGGGATGTTTGCATTCCTTGTGAAAGGAATAAATAACTTTTTTTAAAGGGACGGTGTAAAAAAAAAAAAAAAAAAAAAGTTGAAAGTGCCCCCGCGCTTGTAAGCAGTGAACGCATACGTAGGCCACACCCACATATGTAAACGGTGTTGAAACCACACATGAGGTATTGTCGCGAATGTCAGAGCAAGAGCAATAATTCTCGCACTAGACCTCCTCTGTAACTTTACACTGCTAACTTGTAGAAATTTTTAAAGCGTCACCCATGGAGATTTTTTAAGTACCGTAGTTTGGCGCCATTCCACGAGCGTGCGCAATTTTAAAGCGTGACATGTTGGGTTTCATCATCTTTCATACTTTACAAAAATGTAGGGTATATATTGTTTTTTTAATTAAAGTGTATTTATTTCCAAAAAAATTGCGTTTTAAAAATATGTACATTTTTACAAACTGTCCATTTCGGTTTCGTTTTTGGCCAAGTGCATCCTGAATTTTTGGTTTCGGCACTGGAATTTTAATTTCGGTGCACCACTGCCCCAAACATCTGCTGTGTAGAGAAATACACAGCAGCATGTTATTGCTGGCAGGGGAGAGACCTGTGTTGTTTACACACAGGTCTCTCCCGTCACTGTTTCTCGGTGATCGCTGGGTGCCGGAGGAGAATCTCCGGCCAGGACCTGGTGATTGATATCTGTAGCCACCAATGCCAGCACAAGTAGGGTGGCGCAGGTGCGCACTCCCTACCTGGAAATGCAAATCACGTATATATACACGTGACTTTATGTAGCCCTGCAGCAGTATTTCTGATATAGGGCAGCGGACTACTGGTTAAATGTTGGCGTTTTTTGTTTATATGGGGGTGGGGCTAGACCTTTTAGTCCCTTGTTTAACCAGCAGCGGACTACTGGTTAAATGTTGGCGTTTTTGTTTTATAGCGAAAAAAATAAAAAACTGCAGAGGTGAGCAAATACCACCGAAAGAAAGCTCTATTTGTGTGAGGGGGAAAAAAATGACACATTTCATTTATGTACAGTGTTGCATGACTGTGCAATTGTCAGTTACAATACCGCAGCACCGTATCGCAAAAAATGGCCTGGTCAGGAGGGGAGGGGGGAATCTCCGGAGGTCAAGTGATTAAGAATAGATATAGTTAGGCTGTTCTTTCACCTAATCCCGGCCTCTACCTAGGTTCCCCCACACAGTGTTAATGTCAGCCTTTACCTCAGTGGTCTCCAAACTGCAGCCCTTTGCCTGCTTTTATCCGGCCCTTGGGGCACTATTTCATCCATGGATACCAAAAATGGAACAAAATTCTCCCCCCACTGACACTAATGAAGGGGTATATTTCCTCCCAATGGCACCAACGATGGTGCACACTCCTACCAGTGACACCAATGATGGGGCCCAATGACACCAATGATGGGTCACAATTCCTCTCACTGATGCCAACGATGGGGCACACTTCTACCAGTGACACCATTGATGGGTCCCAATTCCTCCCATTGAAACCAATGATGAGACACAATCCTACCTGTGACACCAATGATGGGGGAAATGATGGGTCACAATTCCTCCCACTGACACCAACAATGGGGCACACTCCTACCAGTGACACCAATTATGGGGTCCAATAACACCAATGATGGGTCACAATTCACCCACTGACACCAACGATGAGGTACACTCCTACCAGTGGCACCAATGATGGGTCACAATTCCTCCCACTGACACCAACGATGAGGTACACTCCTACCAGTGGCACCAATGATGGGTCACAATTCCTCCCATTGACACCAATGATGGGGCACACTCCTACCAGTGACACCAACGATAGGGACCAATGACACCAATGATGGGTCACAATTCCTCCCACTGACGCCAACGACGGGGGCACACTCCTACCAGTGACACCAATGATGGGTCACAATTCCTCCCACTGACGCCAACGACGGGGCACACTCCTACCAGTGACACCAATGATGGGTCCCAATTCCTCCCACTGACACCAATGATGGGGCACACTCCTACCTGTGACACCAATGATGGGGATCAATGATGGGTCACAAATCCTCCCACTGACACCAATGATGGGGCACACTCCTACCTGTGACACCAATGATGGGTCACAAATCCTCCCACTGACACCAACGATGGGGCACACTCCTACCAGTGAGACCAATTCCTCCCACTGACACCAATGAAGGGGTGCTCTTCCTTCCTTTGACACCAAAGGTGGGACACTGGACATCTGTTCCAACTGACATCAGGCCCTTTCCTACTTCCAATAGCCACGGTCCAGCCCCCCTAACGTCTGAAGGACAGTAAACTGGCCCTGTTTAGAAGGTTTGGAGACCCGTGCCTTACCTCAATGATCTTGACGAACCTGGGGAAGACGGGGGTTCCTGGACACTGCAATGACAGGGACATTGGGGAACACCTCGGGAATCATGAGAGGGGTGAGAGCAGTGACTATGGGGGCGCTGTAAGCGGCTTCTGCTCCTCCACCATCCTCCCCACTACTGCTCTCATCTCCTCCTTCCCCGGACTGTGCCCCGTCCTCTCCAGAGGAAGCACCGCTGCCCCGACTCCCGAATTCATGTACAGATCGGCAGTGGACGGTACACAGCCGGGGGACATTGGAAGAATGGGCAGCGCTGACACAGCGGCTGAGCCGAGTCCTGATTGATGCATCCTGAGAGCTGACAGCAGAGTAAAGCCTGCCTCGTATGTGCGGCCTCCAGCCAGTCTCTGGTGCCGCTCCCAGTAATCCGACCCTGCATTGTCCCAGCCACCGGCTGCACCTCCACAGCCGCTGATAACCTGTCATGCTGTCGGCTTCACTCCGTACACCACCGGTCCAGCGCTATCCTAGAAGCACGCTGCTTCCGGCACACAGCATTGATGTCAGAGACTACCCACCAATGCCCGGGCCGCTGCAGACAATGTGCTGATGAACCCTCAGCAGCCATGATTGATGAGGTAGTATTAGGCAACAGTTCTAGCTCTATGTGACCTTGAGCTCTTTTATTTACTGTAACAGAAGTATCAAGGTCCTTTCACACTGCACTACACGTATATGTGCAGAAACTACCATTTGTGCATGTTTTATGCACATTGCATTGCGTTGAGATGCATTCATGTGTGTTGCAGTGTGAGCGAGGCGCATAAAAAAACATTTTTTTTTCTATTTGCCCTTGTAGTGACCTGTGTTTATGCAGTGCTGAAAAATTCAGGTCACTTCAGGTAGTAGGAAGGACCCCTTATTAAAATGATACAAAAGGATAATGCACATTGAGCCTCAGTTTACATATATGTGGTGTGGGAAACGCAGCGAATCCCAAGCATTTCCTGTACTGAAATCTCACTCCGTTCATGCGATTAGCCAGGGGTGTCAATGTTGAAATTAACCATTTCCCGCCCGACCTATAGTAAAATGACAGCTGGGTGAGCCTATTGTCCCTCCGGGTGGACATCATATTATTATTATTATTATACAGTATTTATAAAGCGCCAATAGTTCGCTCAGCGCTGTACATTACAAAGGGGAACAGAACATGTGACAGAACAATACCAATACAATGCAAAACATGAGGGGATGAGGGCCCTGCTCTTTCGAGCTTACAATCTAGGAGGGAGGGGGTGTGGCACAGGAGGAGATAGCTGTGGGGGATGGAGTGGTAGGAAAAGTGGAGGAGGTCGGCAAGTTAGCAGGGGGGTGGGGTAGGCTTCCCTGAAGAGATGGGTTTTCAGGATGCGCCTAAAGGAGAGGAGAGTAGGTGATAATCTGATGGGTTGGGGCAGGGAGTTCCAGAGGATGGGTGACACCCTGTAGAAGTCCTGGAGGCGGGCATGGGAGGAGGAGACCAGGGAACTAGAGAGAAGGAGGTCTTGTGAGGAGTGGAGTGTGTGTGCTGGGTGGTACTTGGATATTAGGTCGGTGATGTAGTTTGGGGCAGTATGGTGGACAGCTTTGTACGTCAGTGTTAGGGTTTTGAATTTGATCCGTTGCGCAATCGGAAGCCAGTGGAGGGATTGGCAGAGGGGGGTGGCGGAAACGGAGCGGTTGGAAAGGTGAATGAGTCTGGCCACCGTATTCAGGATCGACTGAAGCGGGGATAGCCAGCGGCGAGGCAGGCCAGTGAGGAGGGAGTTGCAGTAGTCGAGTCGTGATATGATGAGGGAGTGGATGAGTTAACTGCTTCGCACTCCTTCAAAGCAGCACTCAATCAGAAGCAGCACCCCCATCAGTGATTGCCCCCCATGAGCTGATCTAAATTTATAGAGAGATGCTCAAATGAACATTCAACTCCACCCCAATTAGAAGCTGATAAGGATCACATGAATAGTGGGGGATGTTTCTCAGGAAACAGACTACAGTCATAAAACGGTGCAGCTGGAGGTGAGAATCATATGACGTCCTACCAGTCTCGCCACTTGTGCGCACCCCCAGGGGCACGCGGTGCGGCGATCAGTGATGAGCTGTGTCCCCCAGACACAGCGCACCACTAATCAAGGGAAAGAGACAATGAAATTAGCTCTTTCACATATGGCAGGATGTTTCCAGTCAGAGCCACAGCCGGTCTCAAATGTAAAAAAAAATCTCGGTATCTCGCCGTTACTGGCTTCTCACTCACCGATTTTGTGTGAGAAGACCCAGGAACAGTGAGTTACAGCTCTACAGCTACTGTTTAGTGCATTATACTGCCCTAATTGTCCCCCAAATAAAAGAGCACCTGTCACGGCCGCTGATCAGTGTACCTTTCACAGCCCAATAGTGCACCTGTCACAGCCATCAGTGTACCTGTCATAGCTCATTAGTGTACCTATCACAGCTCATCAGTGCACCTGTCACAGCTCATCAGTGCACCTGTTACAGCCATCAGTGTACCTGTCACAGCCTATCAGTGCACCTCTCACAGCTCATAAGTGTACCATTCACAGCCATCACTGTACCTGTCACAGCCATCAGGGTACCTATCACAGCCCATCAGTGTACCTGTCACAGCCCATCAGTGCACCTGTCACAGCCATCAGTGTACCTGTCACAGCCCATCAGTGCACCTTACACAGCCATCAGTGTAATTGTCACAGCCATCAATGTACCTGTCACAGCCCATCAGTGTACCTGTCACTGCCCATTAATGTATCTATCACAGCAGCCATAAGTGTACCTGTCACAACCCATCAGTTTAACTGTCAGTGCATCTATCAGCACAGCCCATCAATGTACCTGTCACAGCTCATCAGTGCACCTGTCACAGCCATCAGTGTACCTGTCACAGCTCATTAGTGTACCTATCACAGCTCATCAGTGTACCTTTCACAGCCATCAGTGCACCTGTCACAGCCATCAGTGTACCTGTCACAGCTCATTAGTGTACCTATCACAGCTCATCAGTGCACCTGTCACAGCCATCAGTGTACCTATCAGAGCTCATCAGTGTACCTTTCACAGCCCATCAGTGCACCTGTTACAGCCATCAGTGTACCTGTCACAGCCCATCAGTGTACCTGTCGCAGCCCATTAGTGCACCTGTCACAGCTCATCAGTGCACCTGTTACAGCCATCAGTGTACCTGTCACAGCCTATCAGTGCACCTATCACAGCTCATCAGTGTACCTTTCACAGCCATCAGTGCACCTGTCACAGCCCATCAGTGTACCTGTCACAGCCCATTAGTGCACCTATCAAAGCTCATCAGTGTACCTGTCACAGCCCATTAGTGCACCTGTCACAGCTCATCAGTGCACCTGTTACAACCATCAGTGTACCTGTCACAGCCTATCAGTGCATCTATCACAGCTCATCAGTGTACCTGTCACAGCCCATCAGTGTACCTGTCACAGCCCATTAGTGCACCTGTCACAGCTCATCAGTGCACCTCTCACAGCCATCAGTGTACCTGTCACAGCCCATTAGTGTATCTATCACAGCAGCCATAAGTGTACCTGTCACAGCCATCAGTGCACCTGTCACAGCTCATCAGTGCACCTGTCACAGCCATCAGGGTACCTATCACAGCTCATCAGTGTACCTGTCACAGCCCATCAGTGTACCTGTCACAGCCCATCAGTGCACCTTACACAGCCATCAGTGTAATTGTCACAGCCATCAGTGTACCTGTCACAGCCCATTAGTGTATCTATCACAGCAGCCATAAGTGTACATGTCACAACCCATCAGTTTACCTGTCAGTGCATCTATCAGCACAGCCCATCAGTGTACCTATCACAGCTCATCAGTGTGTACATTTCACAGCCCATCAGTGCACCTGTCACAGCCATCAGTGTACCTGTCACAGCCCATCAGTGTAACTGTCACAGCCATCAGTGTAACTGTCACAGCCATCAATGTACCTGTCACAGCCCATCAGTGTACCTGTCACAGCCCATTAGTGCACCTGTCACAGCTCATCAGTGCACCTGTCACAACCATCAGTGTACCTGTCACAGCCCATTAGTGTATCTATCACAGCAGCCATAAGTGTACCTGTCACAACCTATCAGTTTAACTGTCAGTGCATCTATCAGCATAACCCATCAGTGTACCTGTCACAGCAGCTGTCATCAGTGCAGCCATCACAGTGCCACCATCACTGCTGCCCATCAGCAGTGTACCCATCAGAGCCGCCAGTCAGAAGTTTACCCGTCATAGAGCCTCCATGTCACAAAAATTGTATACTAGTGAGGAGGCATATAAAATCCTAAGTATGACGGGCAAGAGCAGCGGGGAGCTCTCACCATCCGATTCTGATTCGGAAAAGGAACCAGTAGAAAGTAGTAGATTTGTCCCTGAGCAAATCATCTGTGTGGAAGAGTCCCTTGTCCACTTTACTGGCTGGCTGGGAATCAAGCCATGCATTCCCAGTAAAAGGGACAGGTATGAACTGAAGCTCAACAAGCTCTGTGAAAGTGCCATGGGATACAGTATGTGCATGCCTTCCGCGTGTATGAAGGCATAGACTGCAAGCTCTAGCCCCCAACCTACACAAGTGGAAAAATTGTGTGGGACCTGGCATTCCCACTGTTCCAAAAGGGGTATGACATTCACCTAGACCAGTGTTTTTCAACCTTTTTTGTGCAAAGACACACTTTTTTCATGAAAAAAATCACGAGGCACACCACCATTAGAAAATGTTAAAAAAAATTACCTCTGTGCCTATATTGACTATATATAAAGTAATTCTCTTGAATAGGAATCAAACACAAAGAAATTATTTTATAATTACTTTATTATGAAATAATAAAAATTTTATAATTGTTCATATTTCTGTTTACTTACTCAGTGCGAAACCTGGGCCTGTTTGGCTGAACACAAAGCTGATATTCTGGCAGGAATCGAAGAAAGACACACACGTAGCTCTTTGTCAACAGCTCTCAGTCTCTCTCTGTCTTTAGTTTTTATAGCAATCAGGCTTGAAAAGCTCATCTCACACAGATATGTAGTGGAAAATGGGAGCAATGTCAAAATAGCTTTGTTTGCCAGAACGGGGAACTCCTCCTACTCATTTCGGCCTTGCATTCGTGTGTTCAGCTCAATCAGATGATGAAAAATATCTGCCAGGTATGCCAGTCTTGCACACCACTCATCACTTGCAAGCAGCTTTGCGTAATCTGACCTCTCATTTGTCAGAAACACTTTAAGTTCCTCCCGCAGCTCATACACACGAACCAAGACCTTGCCACCCGACAACCACCGGACCTCCGTATGAAACAGCAAGGTTTTATTCTTCGCTCCCATCTCCTCACACAAAGCTGCAAACATGCGACTTTTCACGGGTCGTGACTTTACAAAGTTTACCATGCGCACAACATCATCCAACACAG